AGACTGTTATCTGGCAATGGAGGTCGGAAGGATCGTAGTAGGCCATAGTAATCGAAAGGATCGTAGTCGGCAGAAGAAAGGGGTCCAAAAGACCATAGTTGGCAGGTGGCCGGGGTCAAAAAGATTATTATTTAGTGATGTAGGTCAGAAAAATCTTAGTAGGCGACAGAGATCAGAAGGGCCGTAGTCAGCAGGAGACAGGGTCTGAAAGATCGTAGCTGATAGGAGACCAGGGTTAGAAAGACCGTTGTCTGGTGATGAAGGTCGAAAGGACCGTAGTAGGAGAGGGAGGTCAGAAGGATCATAGTCGGTAGGAGACAGGGGCCCGAAATACCGTAGTTGGCAGGAGACTAAGGTCAGAAAGACCATTATCTGGTTATGTAGGTTGGAAGGATCATAGTAGGCGATAGAGGTCGGAAGGACCATAGTCGGCAGGAGATAGGGATCCGAAAGACCATAGTTGACAGAAGACCTGGGTCAGAAAGATCGTTGGCAAGTGATGTAGGTCGGAAGGATTGTAGTAGGCGATAGAGATCGGAAGGACCATAGTTGGCAGGAGACATGAGTCCGAAAGATCGTAATTGGTAGAAGACTGGGGTCAAAAAAATTATTGTCTGGTGATGTGGGTCGGAAGGATCGTAGTAGGCGATGGAGGTCGGAAGGATCATATTCGGCAGAAGACATTGGTCTAAACACCGTAGTTGGCAGGAGACTGGGGTCTGAAAGATCGTAGTTGGCAGGAGACCGGAGTCAGAAAGACATTGTCTGGTGATGTAGGTCGGAAGGATCGTAGTAGGCGACTAAGGTCGGGACCGTAGCCAGCAAGAGATAGAGAATTGAAAGGCTGTAGTTGGCAGGAGATAGGAGTCCGGGTCTCAGGTGGTGGTCCGGAAGAAGTCCGGGCCTTAGGTGGTGGTCCAATAGAAGTCCAGACATTAGGTGGTGGTCCGGTAGAAGTCTGAGCCTCAAGTGGTGGCCTAGTAGAAGTCCGGGCCTCAGGTGATGGTTCGACAGAAGTTCGGGCCTTAGGTGGTGGTCCAGCAGAAGTCCAGACCTCAGGTGATGGTCCGGTAGAATTCTGGACCTTAGGTGGTGGTCCAACAGAATTCGGGCATTAGGTGGTGGTCCGACAGAACTCTGGGCAGTTGTCGAGGACGAACGAGGAGGCAAGAGCAATCTCCAATCTCTCTCTTACTCTCTTGCTTGGAGCCAACCCCCCTTTCAAGAGGGATGAGGGTCCATTTATAGATTTCCTAGAGTGGCATGGCTCGTAATAGGAGGGAGATCAAGGGCATATGGGGAGTGGCTTTGATGGACGGCCGATGTTGAATCCCTTGATTATGGTAACGTTTGATGGACATTTGAATGTTTTAGTGATGTCAGAATTTAGTGATCTTGGGCTCTTTGGATTTGTCTCATCGAGCCTCTCGATTCGATTATAAGCACATCATGTTTTGAAACCACTTGGTAATCCAAATTGTGGTTCGAACCCTCCAATAGCGCTTAAAACCCTTGATTCAGGCTCATTTGGGCTCGGATTGAGTCGAATTTGGTGTTGTTGGGCTTGTATTTCTGAGACATTCAATTCGATTGTACGTTTGTTGAAATCGGAGTTCAGATGGTCACAATTTTAATTTTCGAAGTTTCCAACTTGATCTAAATGAAGTACTATAGAAAATGTAAATTAATAGTGATTTCTTGGCTCAGGATAAGATGTTGTGAATCTCACTTAATTGACAATCTAAAAACCTTTTAAATTTATTTGAATCGTATATTTAAATTAGTTTTTTGCTCTAAAAAAATATGTAATGTTTTACATAATTTAAATCATGATGGGCATGAAAGGTGTTAGACTTAGGTCTGTTTTGAATAACTTTGCACTGCTTTTCTTTTTCAAATAACAATCACAATTTTGTTTGATTACTATTTTCTTGGTGCTATACTAATGCCTTTTAGTTTTTTTTTTTTTTTTGTGAAAAGCTGCATTTTATAACCATAGTAGTTAAGTTGATTTCCTGACAACCAACTTAAAAAAATATTGCAACCATCCCAAATAAATTCGTAGGCTTTGTTTTAGACAACTTTTTGCCACTAATTTTTCATTGCTTAAAAAAAAACTAAAAAATTATTGTGGAAAGAGGAAAACTATCTTCAAAGAACTAATTCTAGGGGTGCAAATATTTGACCCAACTCGAAACCCGACCCGGACCAAGCTAAAAAATTATGGGTTCAGGTCAACCCATGCATTGGCCAGATCGGTTGGGTTCGAGTTTTCTTTTCTGATCCGTTTATAAAATTGGATCGAATTCGTATTGACACGGAAACTCGAAATCAACTAGATTGACCCAGAAACCTGAAACCTCCATTGCCTCGTGTCCGAGTTTGGACTCCGCACCAAGGGTCCAAGACCCATTCCATGTCCCGTGCTTGGCTTGCGTCCAGGCTCTCTGGATGCTCGAAATCCCCGCCTGCCTTCATCCACATCGAAATGGTCAACGTCGTCCGCTAGTCGTCTCCTTGACTCTCAAGTCTCATCCCTTATGACTTACATGACCCAAAAACTAGAAACCTCACTTGCCTCGTGTTCGGAGTTCGGACTAGGGACTTCGCACCAAGGGTCCAAGACTCGCCCCGCGCTCGATTCGCTGCTCGCATCCAGACTCCTCTGGATGCCCTTCAAAAACTTCGTCGCCTTCATCCACATTGAGGTCGGCCTTGTCAGCCAGCGAGAGTGACAATCCACCGCCTCGGCCCCTCTCTCCTTCCCCTCCGCCTCAAGAGAGAGCAGGCATCCTTTCTCCTTCGATCCTTCCCCTCGACCTAGATGCCTCGCGTCCACTCCGCAGTTAGCGATCTAGGTTCGCATCGCAGTGAGCCTATCGGTTCACGGGTTAGGTCAGGTCCGAATTTCTCATCCTTTTATAAATTTAGTCGGGTTCAGGCTGACTCGTTTAGACCCGGGTCAATTTTGAGTTCGACCCAAAAACTCATTTTGACACCCCTAAAGTGAGAAAACTTTCTTACTGCTTTATAAACTACTGAAGAGAAAATAATTTTTTAAAATTATTGTAAAAAGTAGTTTTTAAGTACAAGAATTATTTGGAAGTGACGAAAAAACAATGTTCAAATAGAAATTATAATTGCGATCTAAAAATCAAAACAGTAAGAAAGCTGATCCAAACAAAGTTTTACTTTCATATTAATGTTATGTTGCAATAATCTTAAAACAATTGTAATAATTTTTAAACTCATTCTTATATAAATTATAATATATTAAAATATTCAGATATTTTTTGTTTTTTAGTTTTTCTTAACCCAGAGAAAATAATGACTACATCATTGTTCAATGTCATGAATGCACCATGCATGTTTTAAATTTTGATTTTTATTTTTGGAATTTTCTTTCGAGATTATTTTAATTACTCCTAATTTGACCTGGCCCAATTTTGTCACCAATGGACATCTGCACCATTGTTGGATGAAATTGGCCTACTTGTAATTAAGTTAATTGTATTTTTTTATTGATATTGGAGGATTAATTAAATCCAGAAATTTTGATAATAATTCTATAAAAAAATCATTAATTTAAATGATTGGATTTGGGACCCAAATTCAAATTATTTAGAGTTATTATTAACATTTTTTGGTAAATTTTTCTGAGTGATTCATAATATTTATCCAATTTATTTAATGGAGATATAGATTTTCTTAAGAGTGCAATTTTTATTTCATAAATGAAAAATAATAATAATAATAATTCAATTGAAAAAAAAAAATTAATAAACTTCATGATGATCTTATATTAAGAGTAATGTTATAAGTGTAATATGTAGTTATTTGTGATTAAAAAAATTATAAAATTTTATTTCTCCTTTTTTTGCCCCTCTCTCTCTCTCTATCACTTAGTCATAATGTGTAAAAAAATATTTGACTACAAATTTGATTTTCATATCATTTTTATTAGAGGAGTATTTCAATCCATTCAAATTCTTCATATCTATTTGTTGTTGTTTAAATGCTATATTTTATTTAAATAAATTTTCAAATAATAAAAAAATTAAAATGAGTTGAATTAAAGTGGGCTGAATAAAAATAATTTGTATAAGAGTTTTTTTTTTCTTATAACATTTGTTTTTAAAAAGAATTTTTTTTTAATCCAAAACTTTTTTGTATATATAAAAAAGTGGCATGATATGATTTCCTGACCACCGTCGCTCGAGCATAGCCCTACGATCATCATCGCTCAACTGAATTCATTTTGTATATTTTATATCTACTATATTATATCTAAAATTTGTCTCAATAGGAAATAATGTTACTTGTAATCGACGATAAACATTAATATAATTATTTCAGCTATATCAATCTCGATAAGTTTTCCCCTTTTCGAATTTTTCACGTAAAAAGCCCTATTTTCTCTCATAATCATAACAATTTGTAAAAGTAAATTTATTTGAAATGGTGCTTTAAGAGTTTGATTTGATCTTATTTAGACTCAAACTGAGCCACTTTCGATATTTTATCTTATCGCAATGTTCAGTTCACCATAAATTTGCTAAAATTAGGGTTCAGATGATGTTGGCTTTAATTCCAAAAATTTTTAAATTTAAAATTTTACTTTGAGATTCGTATCGATAATGCTAATTTTTTGAAGATATATCCGATATGATAAAAGTTAATTGAATCATATGATAAATTATGCTTTGAATTATTGATATAAAATTAAATTAATATTTTCATGCCTAATTTATAAAATAGTTATTAAATAATTGTACAATTACCATATTATTAGGTTTCCACTTACCTATGATGATTTCCAAACTAAATTCTTTCAAAACCTTCTATTCAAATGTATAAACACCCATTCAACTTTTTCAAAAAATAGATAAAGTTCCCTTAAAAACTCAAATTCCTCTCTTCCCAACTATAAAAATCCCACCTTTACCCAATGTTTTGCAACCACAGCAATTAACTTATCTTGAGAGTAGAAATCATTCACTATGAGCCATCATCATCATAATCATCATCATCACCCTGATGAACGCCATGACTGCTGCCATGGTGACCACCATGATCACCACCATCACCATGATGACCGTCACCACCATCACGATGACCACCACCACCATGATCACCACCGCCACCATTCTGAAAACCATGAACACTATCGGAACCAGCCTCCTCCGCCTGCGTCGTACCCGCCGGCGCAGCCGTACCCCTACGCCGATCCCTACGCCCAACGCTACGGTGGGGAAATAATATCCCACAACCACAACTCAACCTTCAGAATCTACACCAAGGCCGAAGAGTGCTACTCCCTCTCCATCCGCGAAGACAGCGTCGTCCTTGTTCCGACGAACCACCACGATGATTTCCAGGCATCTATAATCTCACCAAGCTCACTCCTCTTTCATTTTTGCTCTCGTCTTTCTCGTCAAGATCTCATCTTTATGCATAAAAAATCCAATCTTTCAGCACTGGTACAAAGATTTTCGATGGGGCAACGAGGTGAAGGATGAAGAAGGTCTCCCTGGTTTTGCGCTGATCAATAAAGCTACTGGTTTGGCCATCAAGCACTCTCTTGGTGCAAAACACCCCGTAGGTTTTGTTAGATTAATTCGTCTTTATTTAGACTAGAAGAGATTAACAACTAATTAACTTAATATGCTAAATAAGGTTCGTCTGATACCGTTCAATCCTGAATACATTGATGAGTCAATTCTGTGGACGGAAAGCCATGATACAGGGGAGGGGTTTCGCCACATCAGGATGGTGAACAATATAAGACTTGGTTTTGATGCCTTCCATGGCGATAAGGATCATGGTGGTGTTCACGATGGCACCATTGTTGTGCTGTGGGAGTGGCTCAAGGGGAAGAATCAGAGGTGGAAGATTGTTCCTTTCTACTGTGAGTATTCTTGTATCTTTTTAATCTTTCAGATCAATTTCTTCTTTTTATAGATTCCTGATTTCATTTTATGCTTTTTATTGCAGAAAGGAACCGTGTGTGATGCTCTGCTACCAGTGTTCGATCAGTGCTGCATATCGGAATAAGCTTCAGGAGTTGCTTCTGCAACTGTTTAATGGAGCTTAAGAAGGATTTGTGTTTCCATGTTTGTGGTTTTCTTTCTGAAGAGACATTGTTTGTTTGTATTCTGTTATGCATTTTGAATGGTGTGAGAGTCTTTGTCTTTGGGGTTATCTTTTTTATGTATGGAGTTTCAATTCTATGTTTTCTCCCTGAAATTATTATAGCTTCTTCTGTGTTCTAATTAGCTTTTCTGTTCTTTCTATTGAGTTTTATTAGAATTGCTCATGATAGCTAAAGGCTTCCTTTGGGACGAATTTCTTCGGTTTTGTTTGGGATGACTTTTTTGCTGCTTCTTGAAGTAGCTTTCTAGTACAAAAATTAAGAAAGCTGCTTCAAGAAGCAGTAAAAAAGCCGTCCCAAACGAAGACAATTTCATATTGCTGCTTACAATAGTTTTTTAGTATAAAAATTTTAATTTTTAAACTAGAAAGCAAATTTTAATATTTAAACTAGAATACTATTTTAAGAAGCAATAAAAAAACTATCACAAATGAAACTTTAATGTTTTCTAAAACATCTTTTTAATAAAAAAATATTTTGAAATAAAATTTTTTGTACTAGAAAGTTGTTTTCAAAAGCATTAAGAAAGCTGTCTCAAATAAAGCCTAAGATTAAGACTTCATTCAATGAATAGCTCTATAGTCATACATATTAATTTCAATATTTATTTATTTATTTAAATATATTTGAATAATTTTAAAAGTGTCATGTAAATGAGCAAGTTGAAAACTAATCCTTCTATTCATTAATATCAAGCTTATGTCTTAACAACTAATTTGTTAAAAAACCAATAAAATGATCATTTAAATTTATTTAATTGCTTGGTTATGACTATATTTTTATTTTTATATGATTTTTATGCATTTCAAGTATTTTAAAAATTATACAGATTATTTAAAAAGTATAATTAAATATGAAATATATAGTTAGATATATAAATTAAAATATTTTCTTATTAATATTTGAACTTCTTCTAACAATTTAAATCATATTTTTGAATTATATCAATTTTAATTAGTACTATAAGTTCACTTATTTCTAAATATTATAATTAATTAAGATAAATTATAACTTGAGCTTAACTAAATCAAATTCAATTTTGGCTCAATATAAATATAAATAAATAAATATATTAGTTTGAAAAATATAATACTTGACTCCACATATTTACCTCTCAACTCAAGTTTGTATTGGATAAATATTTTATGAAATGTATATTTAATTTTAGAGCTATTTTACATTATTCAAAATTTTCTCTTCATAAAAGGAGACAAAAAACTAATTTTAAGTAATATTAAGATATTTTCTTGATATTTATTAATTTATTTATTTACTTATTTTTGGCCCATCAGATTTGATCTTTTTAATAATAGAGAATAATTTAGCATGCAAACAATCTTATTATGATTTTTTTAATAATTAATTTGTTTGATCTTATTAATCTCATTATAGCATATTGTCATTTCATAAAACATTTGATTAATTTCTTGATAAAATTACCTAAAGCACTATTATCATCAAGATCATTAAGCGTCAAATTCCACAATTAACTGCCAATCCACTGTGTGTTTTTTTCCCTATCCTCGCCCTGCTAGGGTTTTTCCCCTAATCGTTCCCAGAGCCCGTTGCCTGTTCATCATCTGGTCTCGCTCATAGGAAAGTACTCTCTCTCTTTGTGCTAATGTAGTTCTTCTCCTTCCCTCCATTTTGGATTATGTATTTCCTTGATCTTGCCACCCGCTTTCACAGATGGCAGCTAATCAAGTTAAATTATTTTATCCTAAATCATATTCCTAATTTGTTTCTTGATGCTCTTTCGGGGTTTGTCTTTTCTATGAAATTTTCAGAACTTAAAGTTTCCACTTTTCGTGGTTTGCCTTCGCTATGAATTTCAGAGGAGGAAATCGCGTCCCTTGCTCCCTTTGTCTTTTCTTTAGTCAGCAATTTTCCTAATTGCCGCCCGCCGCTGGAAGTAATTAGGAAATTCTTCTTTAATCTGAAACTTTATGGTGAATTTTCAATTACTTTGCTAATCAAACCGATTAATGACCTAGATTATTATCATGCTTTTGCTCATCATGCATATTTTGTGAATAATTGTTTCATGAAATTAACGAAATGGTCTCCAGAATTTGATATTGCTGAAGAATCTCTTGTTAGCCCTATTTGGGTTTTGTTCCCTAATCTTCATCCGTGTCTATTTGCTTCCCTTTTCTTGCATGGTATTGGTTCTATTTTTGGTTAGCCATTCCAATGTGATACTGCAACTTCAAATGGCTCACGACCTTCGGTTGCTAGTGTGCTTGTTGAACTCGACATTTCAAAAAAAAATATATCTTGATTGCATGTGGATTGGTCTGGAGAAATTTGGCTACATCCAAAAAGTTTTAATGGATGAATTTCCTTCTTTTTGTGATCATTGCAAGTCTTTGGGTCATCTTAGGAAGGAATGTGATTCTCTACATCCACATTTAGCTAAGGAACCCTTTCTTTCTCTTAAGATTGTCCCTATTGTCGGTGTGGAAACTGCTTATACACCTCTAGTTGCTTACATGGGAGGAAATGTGGTGGATGTTGTACTTGAAAATATGGAGAAGGATAATTGTTCATGTCCCGTGGGGGAAATTTTGTTGGATGATGGTCTTCCAAGGGTGGGGGTTCTGCTAATGTCCCAGAAAATATTCATCTCCCTTTGGCTATTTCTTCTCCTCTGATTGACCTGATTTATAAGCAATGTAAATTTAGAAAGGGAGTTGATGATGAGTTGGGGGTTAATACTTGTTTGGTGACTTCTGTCGTGGCTATTGAGAATGGTATTTCATCGGTTGTGATTGATTTAAATTTGGGTTATGAGGATGGTGTTGATAATTATAATATGTCTAAGGTGGATACTAGTAATGATTTAGTTGTGCTGATTTCTAATGTTGATATTGTTTCGGATTCTGTTGTTGTTGACGATCCGATGGAATCTGCTTTGATTTGTCTCATGAGAAGTTGAAACCTTGTGATGTTAATATGATGGTGCTGAATGATTCCTCTAGCGGATTGGTTGTCGCCTCTAATATATCTCCTATGGATTTTGTGGTTCCGGCTTTGTCTCCAAATGCGATTGAAGTAGAGCCTTTTGTTGATGTTCCAATTTCTATTATCTCTAATGCCGCTTTGAGAGCTCATTTGGGGTTGGCTACAAAGGATCCTTGTGTTTATCATTTTGATTGGCTTGTTGAGTCATTTTCCTCGCCTGGTGGTGGTGCTGGGGAGAACTTGGATGGGCCTGAGGATGAGTTCAATGAGATGTTTAATATGAATGTGGGTCATATAATCAAAAAAGTATTTTCCATTGGAGGTGGAAAACGTCATAGGCGAAAACATAAAAGGAAGTAATATGCTTGGTTTTATTCTTCTCTGCTATCGTTGGCCTTCTCTTGGTTGTTTCCTTGGAGTTTGGTTGGTGTGCTCGGTTGACTGGGGGTTCCTGTGTGTTTGTTTGGTTTCCTGTTGGGTGTTGTTCTTTCGGTTGAGTGTGTTTTAGGTGTTGGGCTCGGCTGTGATGTTTGATGATTGTGTTGTTTGGATCTAGGTTTGGCTGGGGTGTTAAGTTGGGGGGTCGGGTGTTGGGGGTCTCTCTCAATGGTTACTCGGTTTGTTTAATTTTTGTTGGTTTGGTTATTGCTTCTTGTTTCTTTTGTTTCCTTCCTTGCATGTTGTTGCAGCCTGGAGCTCTTGTGATCTTATTCTCTAGGGCTTCTGGTTGTTTGGTCCTTTTCGGCTATGAGTTGTTTATTGGGCTTTGTTCGGTTTGGTCTCTCTTTTTGCAGCTTTTTTTAATGCTCCTATTGGCTAGTCTATTGTTGTTCGTCTGGGGTGTCTTGCTTGGCTTGCTACTTTGATTCAAGTCATCATTGGCTTTTTAGTCATCTAGAGGACCTCTTCATTGTTTGGTCTTCTTTTCTTTTACTTGGGTATTGTATAGATTGAATCAAAGGCTTGTAAGGTTTATTTCAAATGCTATTTTTTAGAGGGCTATTTATTTTGTAAGGACTTGTAATCTCTTTTTATATTAACATATAAGCCCCTATATATATATAAATAAAGAATTACTTCAAATTCTAGTTAAATTTTTATGAGATACTCAAGTAGTATATTTATTTTCTTCTTAGTATAAATGTTCGGGCACTCAGGTTGACCTAATTTTTGAATTGATAATCTAAATTCTCATAGGTCATGAATTAGCTAGATTTAGAATGAGCCCTATTTTAAAAAATTCTTTTAAAAAAATAATGGTTTTTTATTTTGACTACTTGGATGCAGAGCTAGTCGTAAATTGTGTTGGACTAACAACAAAATTGAAACATCATCGTCATCATGGTCATGTTACTCTATATTGGTCGCATTGCCGAGAGTGCCTTGTTGAACTGGTGAAATTATTCTATGTGGATACGGACACCATCCGGAGATGAATCAGAACGCGTCACGTCATCCATTTGTTGTGTATCGCGGCTTTGTATCAGTGACGTGGCACATTTTTATTTGCCTCCAGACAGTCCAGTATACACACAGAATAATTTCTCGTTGAATTGACTCTCAATTCGAGCACACATGATCTGTTGGATGCCCTATGTGCAATTAGTTGTCCTTCATAGTGACTCACTTTTTGTGTGATGGATGATATGAGCTTATGTTCTTAAAACCACCATCAAAGTCATATATGTAGAGCTTAATCAATGGATATTATTCAAATTATTTGTTGAACTTTAAATATTAGTTAAAAGTATTTAAATCTATTTATATAACTATTTATTTGATATTCCTATTATACTTATATTTTTAATAATATACATAGTTTTTAAATACATAAAAAATAGAAAATTTGATATAAGAACATAGGATAAATAATTAATCATAATTAAATAAGCATTTGATCATGTTCTTAATGATTTTTTTATGAACGAGGGTATCTACTAGCTGCCACTCCAAAGAAAGCGCTTGACGGCATAACTAATCCTTCGGTGGAAACTAGCGAGGCCACCCACCTGCATCAGACTTACACTTGGGTTTCCCAACCGCGCTCAGACCCAACCGTTTGCTCGCCCACCGACCAACCTAAGCCTCGATAGGTCTTAATGAAAATTTATTAAAAAATACATAAGTATGCTCCTAAACATTAATAAACAAGTGGGTCAATGCTAACTTATATAACCAGTTATTAAATTTAGTTCAATTTCATTTAATTAAAAGCCTATATATGGCTTGTTTGGGACAACTTTCTTACTGTTTTATAAAACAGCATTTTAGTATATTAGTTTTTTGAACTAAGAAACTTATACACTAGAAAGCTGTTTTAAAAAATAGTAAGAAAGTTGTCCCAAACGAAATCTAAATCTTGAAATAAAAAATCAGAACAAGTGAGAGAACTCAGAAGAAGCATAAATGAATTAACAGAGAATTGAAAAACAGCATGACATAATCATAATCATAATCATAATCACAAACTCACATACATAAAAAGATGAACTCAAAGACTCTCAAACCATTCAAAATGCAGACATGAACACATAAGAAAGAAAACAACAAACACAGAAACACAAATCCTTCCAAATATCTTCAGCTGAATCAACTCCTCAAACTTCTTCCAATCTGCAGCACTGAACGCTGATATCAGAAAATTATACCTTCCCTCTCTGCAACAACAACAACCAAGATGCATCAAATGAAATTAAGAATCGATAAAACAAGCACTTGATCTTTAAAGCATGAGGAGATAAGAATACTCACAGTAGAAAGGAACAATCTTCCACCTCTGATTCTTTCCCTTGAGCCACTCCCACAGCACAACAGTGGTGCCATCATGAACACCACCGTGATCCTTATCGCCATGGAAGGCATCAAAACCAAGTCTTATATTGTTCACCATCCTGATGCAGCGATACCCCTCCCCTGTATCATGGCTCTCCGTCCACAGAATTGACTCATCAATGTATTCAGGATTGAATGTTATCAGACGAACCTTAAAAAGCATATTAAGTTAATTAGTGGATAATTCCATCTAGTTCCAAACGAAGATGGAGTAATCTTATCTAAACCTACAGGGTGCTTTGGACCAAGAGAGTGCTTGATGGCCAAACCAGTAGCTTTATTAATCAGTGCGAAAGCAGGGAGTTCTTCTTCATCCTTCACCTCGTTCCCCCAGCGGAAATCTTTGTACCAGTGCTGCAAAGAGTGGATTTTTATGTATAAAGATGAGATCTTGGCGAGAAATATGGGAGATAAAATGAAAAAGGAGAGAGATTGATGAGATCTTAGGTGCCTGGAATTCGTCACGAGGGTTCGCCGGAACAAGGACGACGTTTCCTTCGCGGATGGAGAGGGAGTAATTTTCTTCGGCCTTGGTGTAGATTCTGAAAGTGGTGGGGTTGTGGATTATCTGACCGGTGAACTGGTCAGAGTAGATGTGCAGCTGCGAGGGAGGAGGCTGGTGCCGGTATTGCTCGTGCTGGTCAGAATGGTGGCGGTGCTGGTCATCATGGTGGTGGTGGTGGTGGTCATGGTGATCGTCATGGTGGTGGTGATGGCTCATATTGAATTGTTTCTTGCTGGTAAATTGCTCTGCTTGCTTGCCAAAGATGGGCTAAAGGTGGGATTTTTATAGTTCGGAAGAGAAGAACTCTAGTTTTTGTGGTTGCTTTGTTTTTGTATAAACTCTTGAATTGGCTGAAGAAAAGTTAAGGAATATGATGAGATTTAGCTGAATTGGTGTTTAGATAATTGAATAGAAGGTGAGGATAGAATTTAGCATGGAAACAGGTGTAGGAAATTGGACACCTTAGAATGTGAGAATTGTATTGCTTTCATTTTATTATAATTTATGCATAAAAATACTTATTCAAATGCGTGTGTGTATAAGTTGAGAGACCGAGCGTTCCAACGTAAGCAATTTGCAAGCATTACGAGGAAGTTGACAAGAAACATCGAAAGTTGGGTGGACAATCAGCTTGATTTTTCTCACATGCAGTTTCGAGTCGTGTCGGGTTGATCAAGACCGAAAACTGGTCGGGTTCGTGTCTGAAAAACTGACATGTTTGTAAAAATAGGTTGGGTTCGGGTTGACTTGAATAGTGCCGGGTCAGTTTCGGGTTCGACCCGAACCCGACCTATGACCGGAAATTGTCACCCCTACTCTCAACTACAATAGTTGGACTATTATCATCCTTTATTGATCATTACATCAACGCATGACATCACCTATAAAAATGATGCATGTCATTCCTAGAAATGCTAATGTCTGTCATAGCTAACAATATTGACGCCTGCCACCATATGATATAAGGTTGATATATGATGTCAATACAAACATCGATGCCTGTTGATTTCTTCTCCCCCATTGTCAAAAACACCGACACATGATCAACTCTTGCACTAACACCCACTTATTTCGATGTGCACCATCACCTATAAGGCCAACTCATACTGTCAACACAAATGCTAATGTTCATCAATCTCATTGTGAGTGATCACTAATAACGTTAATGCATAGTGATGTGGGGAGATCAATGAGGAATCATCACAAAATACTGCTCCTACGAGCAAAAATTCCAAAACATTGAAAACACTATTAAATCCTCAAAATATTCATTCATATAACTCTTCTTACAACTATTCCATTTATACTTATCAAATTTAGAAACTTAGAGAAACATAGAAGGTTTTAGAAACAACTAATAAATTAAAACAATTATGTCTAAGAAGCATTTTAACTAAGATGTTTTGCACACACGTAGCATGTCAAAGGCCGATGCATGCCATCGACAACAAATTTATCTTCTGCCATCAATACTAAGATTAATATTGGACTTCATGATTTCTGATTTCCTCTTCAAAAGAGCACGATCTATTGTATCACAAAATGACAACTTGAAAATAACTCTAATGGCTCAAAGCTATTTTAAATTTCATTCATCCGCCAATAATCATATTTGTAATACCGTATCAATGCCTTCTCTAGTCATATAAAATGACATTATTTATCATTAACGCATATGCTAGTGTGCTCATTTAGATTGGGCTAGACCCAATGCTTTTTTCACTTTTCAAAATCTCTCTCTCTCTCTCTCTCTCTCTCTCTCTCTTATATTATTTATGTCAAAATAAATTTTATGAATATAAAATTCATTGTGATCAAAATTTTAAGTTGAATTTTTGACCCAATTTTCTTCCTATATAAATTTAGGGATTGTTACATACAGAACATCTAAAACTATTGAAAATACATATCTAACACGTAAATTTTAATATTTACTTATCTATCACTCTGTTATACATATCGTCATTCTCAGCGGCCACCTTCTCCGCAGTGCACTCCGGCGGCAGCATCCAGCTCAACAGCTGCCAAACATGGACTATCGACGTCCCAGCCGGGACCACCGACGGCCGCGTGGAAGATGACGCATGAGAAGCATGTGCCAACACTGCCGACGGTGAGTTGCTTTCCATCACTATCGATATCGCATCCATTCGGATTGAGGAGCTCATTTGCAAGGAAGGAAGATCAGCCTCCTCATATATAAGAAATCCTTTGGCTGAGATTGAAGATAACTCGTTTATAAACCAGAATGGAAGCTCCACGGGCGTGTTTTAGAAGAGCAGAGAAGTAGATGAGGGGGTGAGAAAGCATGTGAGCACAATTTACTCTTGTCAGGTATCTCCGATCTCACTTATTCTTAGTCTTTCTTCTCGCACTAAATTTTTTTTTTTTAAAAATGCTCTTTTTAGTCCCTTCAATTCAATAAATCTTCAACATACATGAAATAGCAGTCGGAGGAAGCAGAAAATAACAGAGGAAGACAAAGATCCAAAGTCAGGAAACAAAGTAGAAAGCAACAACCCAAGAACACTAACAAGAACAAGATCGTCTCGTGATCTTGACAACAACCCATGATTTAATCAAACACTAGTAGAAAAGATGATGAAATCCGCGAGCAAAGCGTGAATAGATATTGTTACCTTAGCTGCGAGCTCCGATCTTGATAGTACCGAAGAAATGGAAAAGACAGAAGAGCAAATCTGCTATCTGGACGAAACCGCGACGGTTCGGGTATATCGTGAACAAACAAAAGAAGACGCGCGGATAAACGGAGTGGTAGAATAGATGGAAAGGGAGAATTTAGGTGGTAGATAAGTAAATATTAATGTTTAGTTGTTATATATATATTTTTAATAGTTTTAAGTGTTATGTATGTAAAAATCACATAACGTTATTGAGAAATTATCATAGTTGCATGACTTAACTTTATTTGATCAATTTTCTTTATCATGTTATATAAAGTAAAATTATTATATTTTGATATAAAAATATGAATTATTTTATAAATTATTTAATATGTTTATGAAGTTGTATAAATAATAAACGTTCATTATGATAATTTTAAAATGTCAAGTTAAAATTAAATTTCATTTAAAAAAATTTTGGACTAAAATACAAAATCCAGTTTCGAAGTATAATTCCTAAAAATTATTATAATGATATTAAATTTAGATTTTTTTTTTTTTGGGTAAACCCTGGGCAAAGAGCCCTTCTATTAAGAAAAATAGATTACAAGTAAGCCTCTAACCAAAAGAAATACAATAAGCAAAGAAAAATAAAGAACCTTCCAGCAAGCCAAAAAACAGGGCTTGAAGAAGAAAATTACAAATACATAGACTCAGAATAATAAGAACCAACATTCCAAACAGGACAATGAATACTGGAGCTGAAGCCAATGCTTTAAAAACCGGACCGGACCGGCCGGTCCGACCGGTTCAACCGTGAACCGGTACAAAGGCCGGTTCGGTTCAACCCGAAAACCGGCTTATCTTCAAACCGGCCGGTTTTGTCCAAAACCGCCGGTTCAACCGGTGAACCGGAGAACCGGTCACGGTTCTCTTGAACCGGCCGGTTCAAATTTTGTAAGATAATAATATGAATCTAATATATAAATTATAAATATATAACATAAATTAAGGATTATTTATATTAAACTTATTAATTCATTTGTAAGTTAATTTTTTGTTAAATTTAAATTAAATTTAAAAATTTGAATATGTTTAAATTTAAAATTATATAAGATATTAATAATGTTTGAATTCAATTTATTTTTTAATAAAAAAGTTATATTATTATATGATTTTTATATCATTTAAATTGTATTTATTACGTCATCCGGTTCGACCCCGGTTCGACCGGTTCAACCGGTCGAACCGTGAACCGCTCTCTCTACCGGTTCATTGCCCGGTCCGGTTTTCACAACCTTGGCTGAAGCAGTTTCTCCGGTTGCCCAGAAAGCAGAGCAAGGCAGCAAAAGGCCATCTCAGAGAATATCGCCAATAGCGAATCCCCCCATCAGGCCCGGTTGCCATAGAGACCATCCATGGCCTGAAAACCATAAAGTTGGTCTTGGTCATCATCGTCATATTGTAATTAGACTTCATCAAGCCCCTCAAAAACATCAGATTGATCCATAACATCCACCTGGAAGGTTCAGCAGAGACAGTGTATACACCACCCCAAAAATTTATACCAAGAGTAAAATTTTGATCCATATATACCAAAACTGGGGCAAAAAAAGGAAATCCCCAAATAAATTTGTATACCCAGGTATCCAAGCCAAAAATAAGCTGTATAAGAAACAAACAGATAAGCAGAACCAAAAGCAGAGAAACCCGTCCCAGCTTAAATTCCAGAGAACCTTTCCAGCAGCATGTCCTTGGTTTTCCATTTAGCAGTTTTTAAACGAATGGCATTAGAAATAGTGCAAATAACTTTAACAGAATTTATGCAAACACCAGAAAACCTCCTGCAATTCCTTTCTTTCCAGATATAATATATAATGCAGCTAATAGAAAGGCAACCAAAATCTTTCTCCCGTCTATTGTAAGTCGAAGAATGCTCAAAGAAGTCATAAATTTGAGCAATGGTCGGCCTCAATAAGAAAATATTTAGTTCCGGGAGCATTCTAATAAGAATCATAAATGAAAAATCACAACCAAAAAAGAGATGATTATGGTTTTCAGGAAATCTGGAACAAAAAGTGCACAAAGAAGGAACAACAATGCCTCTAGAAATTAAATTGTCTGCAGTTTTAAGTTTCCCAGTCACCGCCATCCAAGAGAAACAGGCATGCTTAAGAGAAAATTTTTTGTGCCAAACCGAAGTATACCAATCAACCTTAATCAGATTAGAATAAAATTGCTCAGTGAAATTGCTAAAAACCCATTTGGTTTGGCCTTTCCAGAGAACCTCAGACCTTTCCCCTATCCTACAATTTAAAATGGCAGCAGCAGTAGTAGGAAAAAGATTCAGTGGAAGATTCCAAGAACCCTCAAAAATAAAGTCTTTCACCAATTTTCCTCTAAAAATCACAGCATTAGGGTCAGAATCCAAGAGATCACCATTCAGCCAAGGATCCCAAAGCATGGAAAAAACACAATCATTTCCCACAGAAAAGGAAACCACATCATGAATTTTGACAGCAGTCTCATGAATTTTCTTCCAGAATTTAGAGGCAGAAGAAGGAGGTTGCATCCAGGGAGACTGATAAGCAGACTTATACCAGTTACTTAATAAGTTAGAGGTGTAAAACCGGCTAATTAAAGAGCAGAAAACACCATGGGAAAGAGCCTCAAAAGAAGGAATTCCAAGGCCACCAAAGCACCTGGGGAGAGTAACTTTGGCCCAGGCAATAAGATGCAATTTTTTCTCAAGGATATTGCTGTGAAAGAGAAATCTGGAGCACAGTTTTTTAATGAAGCCACAGCAATATTTAGGTAGAATAGCCCCTCTAATCCAATAAGCAAGAGTGTTGATGATAGTGAATTTGAGGAATTGCACCCTACCTGCAAAAGAAAGGAATTTAATTTTCCAACCATCAAGTAGAGCAGAAATTCTGCTGATTAGAGGTTGGAAGTGAGTTTTATTCAGTCGTTTGGAGGAGATGGGAAGGCCCAAATAAATGATAGAGTCTTGAACATGTTGAATACCCAAAATATCACAAATCTGATCCACCTCAGTAGTATTTTTGGAAAAGATAAGGGTGCTCTTGTCAGCATTAATGAAAAGGCCAGAACTGGATCCAAAAATTTGCAATTTAGACTGAATGAGCCTCGGCATTATCAGGGGAAGCAGATCCAAAGACCAGAAGATCATCAGCATACATGAGGTGGTTCAGATTAGAATTACTACATGGGATGCCTTGAAAAGTATGATTGTCAAAAGAGGAGGAAAGAGTTTGAGAGAGGCCATCCATAACAATGCAAAATAAGAGGGGGGATAAAGGACATCCTTGCCTCAAGCCAGCCGTGGAGTTGAAGAATCCCTCCAGGGATCCATTTAAACAAACAGAAAAAGGTGCATCCATAATACAACCTTTAATCCACGAAATGAATTTTTCAGGAAAACCCTTTTGTTCCATTCTGCTAATCAAAAATTCTCTTGAAACACAATCGAAAGCCTTTTTAATATCCAGCTTGGCACAAAACTTCTTCCCCGGCCCTTTGAAATTTCTTAAAATTTCAGAAGCTAGAATGATATAATCAGTAGAACATCTCTTGGCAACAAAATCAGACTGGCTATCATGAATGATATGAGGCAAAACCAGCTTCAATCTATTTGCAAGAACTTTAGCAATAATTTTATAAAAAACATTGCAAAGAGAAATAGGCCTGTAATCATTAATATGAGCAGCATGGGAGGTTTTAGGGATAAGAGTGATTATAGTGGCTTTCATCCCCTTAGGAAATGAACCAGAGGAGAAGAAGTTACTGACAGCTTTGAAGATATGAAAACCAATCAAATGCCAAGTTTTCCTATAGAAACCAAAAGAGAAACCATCAGGGCCAGGTGTAGAGGACACTTTACCCTCAAAGACAACCTTTTTTATCTCATCCATAGAAACAGCAGCCATTAATTGATCAAAAAGAGAAGGAGGAACCAATTTACCAGGAGGTAATTAGAAAGAAATGTCAGGTAAGAAATTGGGGTTGTAGAGATTTTTGAAGTGGTTAACAAGAGCTTTAGAAATTTCAGCATGAGTTTGAAAGTGTCCTTCAGCAGTGGTGATCTCTTTAATGCAGTTCTTATTGCTTCTCTGCCTAATCTTAGCAAAGAGAAAACCCAAGTCATCCTCCCCTTGAGTAAGCCAAGAAGCCTTAGCTCTTTGAGATATCCAAGATGTCCAATTAGCTTGCAAAGAGGCAAGCTCCTCATTAATAGATTTTAATCTACAGTTGAGAGTAGAGTCCAATGGATTAAGCTGTATATCTAACAAACAAGAGTTTTGTTTAGCTTTTAAATCCAATATGGAAGAGGATAAGAAATTGGAAGAAGACCAGT